AATTACTCCTACAACCACCCCTCATGCTACTAACACATCTACAACACCTACAATTACTCCTGCAAACACACCTAAAACAGATATTTCTTCCGCAACACCTACTACAACCCCATCCAATTCTACTATTACATCTACAACTTCTTCTACAGCCAGAACTACAGGTAAGTTCGCTCAGTTAACCCAGGTCAAGCAGATCAGCTTTGTACAGGCACAGGATCGATGTCAAGTTAGTTTTAATCTGTAAACACATACACTGACTTTAAGCCTGATTGCATACATGCTTTTAGTTTATATAGTTTAAATAACAAATAAACATTTAGATAATTACATGCCAAGCACAACCTCAATGTCAACAGTTATCACTAGCACTCTGGATAAATCGCTCTTTCTAATTAGTATTTGTCACTTAACATTTATTTATTTGATTAATGTTGTTTTGTTTTATTCACACTTTCCTTAAAACGTTTGAAAAAAAACATTTTCTTTATAGTAGAAGATTGATGTTTCACTGCAGTCTGATTTGTGCATTGACTTTAGTCACAAGCAACAATGTATATCTCTTTATATAAATATACAATTTATATTGTTTTTCCCATGAACAGCGACAAAGATTACAGAAACAACTACAGCCCCAACAACGCCATCTATACCCACATATCTGACGAGATTTGCACTAGTGTTCAGCCTTATAAGGTCGTTTGAGCCAGGGCTGAATGACCCCAGCTCAACACAATACAAGGAACTGGAACTGAATGTTACAAAACAGGTAGGTTGGCTCTCTTTGGATTATTTAACACTGAAGAGCTGGATGACTAGAAACGACTGCAGGCAGGAGGAGGGGCGACAGTGTCTCCACTGAGCTTCTCAAAAGAACACAAGCCGCAGGATTTGCAGTCTGTCTCTTATTCAGATTGTTTTTCCCCTTGTTACCAGTAACAGTGGCTCCTTAAGGTGGATCAACTCATTACTTCATGCAAATGGAACGTTTTATGCAAACAAGCAGGAAATGTTGTTTCACACCAGTGTTTTGCGAAAAGGATGGGGAAACCACTTCCTCTCAAACCCAAAAGATGGCACTGTGTCTGCAGACTCGTGACCACGTGTTTTCCCGTTTCAGAGTCCTATAACGTTTGGTTAGACTTTTAGGTGCGGTCTGGCTGGGTGAAGGCAACTTTTTTAAAGTGAGTTAAACAATCCCACATGTACATGCAGAATTTCTAGAATGCCTTCTCTCTCCATACTGGACCACTGTCTTTGGGACTTTGATTTTGTGAATCTAGAAGTCCATCGGTTTGTTTTCCCCATGAGGGTATATTTTACAGCAGTCCACAGTCAACATTCTGTACCTGTGATGCCAAGCTGACCAAGTAACCATGTCGCAAGGGGCACACGAGTGCATTTCTGTCAGCCAATCTTCATTTTAGAGTGCCCAGCACTACAGTCTCAATAATTAAAGCACAGAAGTGGGAAGTAACTACACCTGCCACAGGTCCCACTATGACCAGCTTTCTCTTAGTTCGGTCCAGAATTCAACATCTGGCAAAGCCAAAGACTGACCCATAGCACTTGGCCTAAGATGGATGATGGATAAAATTGTGACACGTCCAGGACAGTCGCTACAAAACCATGCAAGACTGTTCACCCTTTCTGCAATGGCCAGGAAGTCTAATTAGGGGTCAGACCCCTTCAGTACCATGTCTGGGTATATGGCCAGAACTCCAGGAGTAGGAGCTGGTGACTGGAATACAAGAGAACTGGAACTGGAACCAGAGATGGTGATCTGGGCTCCATAAGAACCACTGGCTGGTTTGCACTGACATTATGTTTGGAATAATGTACTTAGTCATGACCTGCAGGGATCCGAGCTAGGACCATGACTGCTCTTATGTACATCAAGGATGGAATTAGTGGAAGACCGCAGAGATCTCTATTAGGACCACTTCTGTTCTTAATCATACAGCTGATGTAATTAGGGATGTTCCACAGGGATTTGTGCTAGGACCACTGTACTTATTCATTCATATCAAGGATATAGATGCTCGTACAGTCAGTAGATCAGATGGTGCAAAAATAGTAGAACTAGCAAACAGTGTAAAAGCAGCAAATTCATTTTAAAAAGATTTAGATAAAATTCCAAAACTAGGCAAAGACCTAGCAAATGATGTCTGATGTAGACAAGACCTGGGTTTTGCATTCTGGTAGGAAGAACACGTGATCTTGAGTATAAATTAATTTTCTCTGTCAGTTGATACCTTGTTGTAGACAGAGTAAGTTACAAAGTCCTAACTTCTTTCTAACTTGTTTTTTCAACAGCTTAATACGATTTACAAAAAGAAATACGGAATTCTCTTCATTCAGTCCAAGGTGACAGGATTCAGGTAAGGACTTGAGCTCTGCCACATGCTGGCCAATCAGCTGTTTACTCTCCAGGCCTCCACTTGGGTCTTCAAGTGTCAGCTCAGCTGAGCACAGCTCCCTCTGATGTGGGTGTTACTTAGACAGTTTCTCTTTAGGTGTAACAATGTAACAATATAACAAGGTGTAAATATTCACTACCTAATTCATTCAAGTGTGAATCAGTTGTTAGAAAGTTAAATTTAAAAGCAGATTTTCAGCTTTAACTGGAACAATTTAACCTTTGGTTTTAAGCTTCTGAAGACTGAACTTGGTCCAGATTATTTATTATAGTGGTACCAACATATCGTATCCCTGTCACGTCTGCCTCTGGAAGCAGGTGACATCATAGCTAGCCATGTTAAGTAGAGTGAAGTCTCATTCACTTAAAAAGTCCTAGTGTGTCAATATCACATGATATATGAACATTGTTCACAGTAATATAATAATGTTCTTGAATTTATTAAGTGACTTCCATCCCAAACCGTCTCGAATTGCTCCTCAAATGCTAGTGCAAAGCTCTTCATTTACCTCTGAACAGCTCCTATTAGACAGCAGATAAGCTGGAGAAATGAGACTTGGCTTCACAAATTGAAGCCAGAATAGACAAACCCAGAATATAAACTAGCCAAGAAGCTAGAGTTGCCACTTCTTCTCTAAAGAACAGCCATGGGATCTTTGACAACATAATAGTCAGGGCCTCGGTTTAATGTGTCAGAGGACAGCACGTCCTTCAGGACAGGATCCAGGGGCACAACACTGGAACGCTGGATTGGAAACTGCACTCTAGAGAGAAGAGCGCGCTCTACTGGTTCACTAAAACTACAGGATCGTGCTGGATTGTTCCTGGAGGGCACCCATCCCAGTATTGGCCGAGCCCAGCCTTGTGAGGCTGCTCAGATCAGATCAGGCTGCAAGGTGGCAACAGTGCCAACTATTACAAGAACAGTTCAGAACAATCAGAAATTAAATTAAACTCTAAACTTAAAATACCCTCAAATGTCTGGAAAATGTAGACTCTTAGATTAATCCCCCCCCCCCATATCCAAAATTTTAAAATAATATTCAGCAAAAATGCCCAATGGATTGAGTGGTATAAATCATTTTTAAAACTACTGAGATGTCTATTTTTGAATCGCGGACATAACACACTGAAATATTTTACAATCGGTCAGTGGGGGGGGGCACAGGGTTCAGACACCGGTCATTAAGTGGCTATTGAAAACTCCACAGAGAGGCTGTGACGAGTGATTCAAGGTACCTCTAATCAAAAACAACGTGCTGGAGGCGGTGAACTGTCCTTCTTCCCTCTGCTCAGGCAAGGCTCCGTTATCACAACCACCGAGCTGGATTTCAGGAGCTCCGCTCCCAGCGCCATTGAGATCGCCAACGCTTTCAAGGACGAGCTGGCGAACTTCACTCCGCCAGTGGACAACACGACAATACAGGCAACAAGTAAGAAAGAGGGAGTGGGGCCGTCTCTCTCCTGACCCTTCTCCTGACGTGCGCCTTTGGTATTTTCTCAGTAGAAATGCTAAGAGAATGAATACCCCTTAGAAGCCAACACAGATGTCGCAGAAGACACGAACCTCAAATCATGCCAGGAAGTTTTTTTTTTTTTAAATATATATAAAGAAAGTCACGGAGCAAATGTTTACCTCACTCGGCACCGCTGCCAAAGTCTCGTCTTTCACCTCCACCGCTCTCCTCCCCTGGACGCCCCGACTTTCACTGACCAATTCTTCTTGCGCTTTCCATCACCAGAGCTGGAAGCCAGCACAGCCGCCCCGGCGAGCACAACGGTAACGACCGGGCCGGCCAGGCCCGCCTCCGGAGGACACACCGCGACCGCCAGGGCCCGCTGGACCTTCCTCCTGACCCTGGCCGCTCTCGTCCTGCCCCGCGCCGCCCGGCTGGACAGCCCGGCCTGAGGCCTCGGAGCGCTCGGCGGCTCCCGGACCCTGCTTTTATTTATCAAGAGCGTTTCCAAAAAAATCTTCCGATGTAAAATCAGTTGACTATTCCTTCATATAACGTGCAAAAAGAGAAATCCCTTTCATATGTCTCGCTTGCTTTTTCAGCATATTGATATAAAGGTGCAAAATGAAGTATTATTTAAGTCCATCTTCTAAAACCTCACTTTAATACGCTGTTTTTTCCTTTTCTTGATTTCAATACGTTAAAACGTGCTCACGGTTCTACCGGTTTTTTGCTTTGTCTTCTTTTGTAAAGTACCCTGAGATTCTCATGTAAAGTGCAATATGTAAAAATAAATATTATGAAGCATGTTTAAAAATGATGCGTGTTGCGTGTGACTCATCACTCCATCCCCCTTTCTCTCCAGGACAGCCTGGTTTCCTTCTAATCCTCTCTGTTCATTCGCAGGTTTCGACTTCATGTCTCTCTTCATCTCCCCTCGACCCAGCTCTTGTTCTCCTGTGCTATATAATCTCTGCTGACCCCCCTGTCTTTCTCACACCTGAAGAAGGCTCCACAACCGAAAACCTTGCGTTTCCTTTCTTCTCTTTTCAGCATGGAGTAAACCTTTACTTGCTCCTTCGCTGACGCAGCCCCCTGCTTGAACTGTATCAGTGTTAGATCTTTAACTCTAAGTGTATAATACGCATCACTTGGCGTGATGTGAACTCGGGGAACGACTGCACAGCCCACAGACTGCCACAGCTCCTATCAGGCTCAGACACAGGCACTGGGAGCTGCAGAACAATTACATGCCTGTAATTCCTGCGTTCCTTCCTTGCCCAGTAATCCCCAGTACAAACAGGTCTTCGTCCTCGGGGGCGCCGCACAAAAGCACAAGGCACTGCAGGCTATTGTACCACCCCACTCCTCCAAATGCTCCAGTAATTCCAGCCCTTTCCCTTCCGGCTCACCTTTTCCCTCCTGGATCCCAGATGGACAACGTCAGGCTCTTTCAAACTGCCTCGGCAACCTCAACCAGCACAGTGTTCAGTTCACTCCGCCTGTGACTATATCACTACTGCAGGACAGTATCCAGGCCGCCATCAAGCACTTGAAACAATCTGTTTACAACGTCTGCATGGTCTGGGATGTGGACGTAGGTTAGTGACACATCTCAGGTGAGTCGGCTTGGATTTCTAGGACAGCTTCCTGAAAATCCCCGCCCAGCTACAATCTGTCGTGCTGACAGAAGAGGAAATGTCCACACCACAGTGTGGGAAAGGAATCGCCACTCACCCAATTGAACTCGTAATTACATAGGTCAACAAAAGTCCTCAATGTCACACTGCCGAAATACTATGCTTCCGGTACGTTGAACTATTAATGAGACAGAACAGCCAACATACTGAGCCCCTAACAGCGAGAAAACAAAGGGATTCACTGCAGGGAGGCTCCAACACAAATTATTCCGGAGTTTCAACACATTTATTCAAAACTATTCCCACTGCCAATAATTCCAATGATCCCAGACGTTACCTGAAGCAGGTTACTGAATTACCTCACTTAACCATATAATAGAAGACTACAGAGTATAATACTCTTTAGCAGGGCTGGGAGTTTTTCTTGAGTATTTTGTTTTTGAATTTTGGGTTAATCCTGCTATGTAACATCTCCTCGTTCGAACACTTCAATCACCTTAATCAATCACTCACTGTAATTTACGCGCAGTATGTGCATATTAACAGCAAAGATTACGAGCTGGTTTAATTGAACAGCATCGCAGTGTGCAGCAATAAATCGAAATGGCCCCATACATGTATGTACTGTAATGCGCCAACAACAGTTTGCTTTGAAGAGATGTGAAATACTGATAGCAGAAATACGTGCGGTAGTACAGAAAAACACTGTAAAGCGGAAAACTAAAAAGTTTCGCAGGCCGTGGTTTCTTGTCTGTTAAAAACTGAATCACTGATGCTGTTGTGTAGAAAGAACACACACGCGTTCCTCAGCATCCAGGGGACGGGTAACAGCTATTGTGCATCGTTTAGACTTGAACTCTATGTTTGGATACCACGTCCCTTCATCTCTTCGGAGACGAGCTTGTCAGCTCCTTCACTAAACCAACCAATAACCTATTGTTCATAAGTTTTAGCCAGTTAAATGAGTGCTCTCTAAATTTAAGCATGAGCAGGATGATCTGTGTGTTTTTTGTCGGCCTGAAGGGGAGCATTTTGGTGCATTTATTTGTTAGGTGCCTGTGTTAGGGTCTGTGAAGGTGTTTTGGACGGACTTGCAGAGTTTTGTTTGCAGGCAGTTAAAGGTGCTTTTTAGATTTAAGGATTTTGGTATTTTATTGGACTTTTGAATAGAAAATTTGGAAAAAGAGCATTTATTTATAGTAAATGTATTCGTCATTCCGGGTAAAACGTCACATTCATAAATCAAAATGGTCTGATAATACTCCCCTTTTCAGTACTTTTGAGGTGGAGATGAAACACTATTTAAATTCTCTAAAAAATTTGAGAAATGCTAAAGCAAGGAAAACATGATATATGTAAAAAAATACAATTTGATCACATAATTTACTTCATTACCTCTGGCAGTTAAATGTTTTTCTTTTCTGTTTGTGTTTTTTTTCTCTTGTACCCGTTTCTGATCCTCTGGTTGTATTTGTATTTGTAAATTCTTTATACCTTTAATTAAAAAAACTAATAACCTATTTCAAACCACAGTGAAGGGCGCCATCCAGCGGTGTGTAAACTGGCATTTGTTCAAATATAAAGAAATAAAACCGTGTGCTTACCTGTTGCGGATAATTCACAACAGCCGCGACACCTTATGATAATAGGAACAAAAATTGAACCATACATATTCATAAACATTTTTGGGTATGTTTAAGATTCCGTTGCATTTCACTCAACAGCACTTTTGTTTCCGTCAATACACATTTTTTTTCTACCGCACTCTACGACAAACCCACACTCAAGGTTTGGAAACCGGACATACTCTAAGCTACTTACACTGCGCCCTCTTGTGGCCTGGAGGTCTGATGGGTCTCTCCACCCATTTACTATTTTTTCTCTAATGTATAATTTATTAATAAGCCCCATAACCCCAATTAATTTATAGAGGAAAATACAACATATTAAAAGGGTACATGCGAATTGTTTTGTGGTGAGGATGGCTTTTATTGGTAATGTTGGTTATGCGTTACAACAGGGAAGGAGCTCTCGGTAGGGAGATTCCAAGGTAGGAGGTGTAATTCATCACATGTTCTGCACATGACTTGCTTTTGCCCCCAGTCAAGTGGGCGTTTTACTGGAACAAATCTGCCAAAGTACCTCTGCTCCATCCTGATACACAGGAGTCCAGTGTGTCTCTCCTGTTGAGCCATGTCCTCCATGTCTTCTCACAATCTTCGCTTCAGACTGGTCATCTTGCCCTGAGATGGACTTCCAGGGCCCCCTTCAGGGTGTGTCTTGTCTGTCTGGGTGTGCTCTGCAACTGCATTCTGGTTAGAACTGATCTAGAATAGATTTGTCCTCTCTGTTTAGATTCCCACATTACTGACTGGTTGGTTTGTACACATGCACCTGGTGTGTGCTGATTCCACAACTGGGCCATCTGACTCAAAACCACCCACAAGGGACTTTGAGAACATGCTTTGAATTTACCAAAAACAGTTTCTGCAATCTGAGACTTTTTGTATTCATTGCGTTCAATGTTTGTGTTTGCACTTGAATGTCATGCATTTTAATTATTTGTTGTCATTTTAAAACTCTTGAAAAGCTTCTAAACGTATAGGCTTTTATTTTTAGATAAGGACAACATTACAAAAGCTTGTTAGCGCCAGGAAAAACAAACAGCATTGTGTTTAATCTCAATATTTATTGTATTTAAAGGGATTCGTTTGAACTCGATTGTTTTTGCATTTCAACAAGATAATATTGCATTATGCTGCCAACCACCGAAACCTGTTAGCGATGTGGAGAAAAAAAGTATATAATGCATTGAAACAAGATCATATTGATAGTCCTCTAGACAGTGAGACCCTTGATGTCCGGGTGAAGTTATTCATGGTGAGTGAAAGGTTGGAGAACGTGCGGTTTGAAAATGAAATACAGACTTCAGAACAACATTGCAAACATCAAACCAAGTAACAGCCTCAGGGGTTGCAATGCCAGCCCGCCAGGAAGGAAAGATTTTAATCTTGACCAAGCTAAGGTTAAATTGCACTGCTTCTAAGCTTTTCAAGTCCCAGTTAGGCATGCAAGTAAATGGACTAGAAACAGGGTTGGGAAGGTTTTATAACAACAGAATAGGTATGTCTCCCACTTAAACTCTTGCCTGTAGGGGCAGTTTCATGTGCAGGCTCTTCCTGCTGTGCTGCCTCATGGGTTTACTGACAAACAATGGAATCATAATGTTTCCCTTTTAAAGCTCCTTGAAATATTCCATCAACACCATCACAGACGACGAGAGCCCTGCATTAATTACAACAGAATCTCTTTATTCTCCTCACTGCGCAGCAGAATTAAATAATAAAAATAATAATGCTTTTTAAACAATGAATACATTTTAAAACTGAAATTGTACAGTATTTACATTCAATAGATAATTAAAACATTGATACATTGAAAAATATTGCACAGAAAGATCAGAACACTAATAAAGTACAGAACAATATACATGATAATGTAAGTATTTATTTTCTTTAAGATAAAGGTTGAACATAGTTTTTTTTCTTTTTATACTTTTTTTTTAAATTAACTTAATCATATATATGAAAGTTTGAGATCTGAAAATGTTTCTATGAAATTTTCCATTCTAAAAATTGAATTATAATGGTTTGAATTTAAAGATCTGGAATTTTAAATTCCGACTCACTGTGTGATTTCATCAAACATTCTCAGGCATAAAAACATAAAACTCACGTTTCTGCTTTTTTCTGTATCAGGACCATTTTTATCCTGACATTGTCAAATGAAACATTAATAATTATTAATTGTATCATATTTGTTCATGTAATATTCTTGTGTTGAGTCATTACTCATTCTGGGTTGAGGCCAGAACACACAAGACAGAAGTGATCCTTCCCATAATGTTAAACTTCACCACAGTAATGGCAGATTCATTTATGCCAAGCTAGCGGTTCAGAAGTATTTACTCAGTTCAAGAAACCTTCTACAGATCCATCAGACTCTCCCTTATTATTGCACACACTACTGTAAGAGAGAGGAGAAGAGTTGTGACTGCACCCAAACTGGAAGATACTCCTGCAATGTTGCTTCCAGATGTTGGTGATCTTGTAGTTGTGGTAGTTGATTTCTTGGTGGTTGTACTTGTAGTTCTTGAACCTGTGCTTGTCGCTGTTGTGGTTGTTGAGCTCGTGGTTGTTGTTGTTGGTGGTGGTGGTGTTGTAGTTGTGGTCGGTGAACTCATGGTCATGTCTTTTGGTCCTGTAGTTGTTGTAGTTGTGGTTATGGGTTTTGTGGTTGGGGTCGTTGAGCTCGTGGTTGTTGTTTCTGGTCTTGTAGCTGATGTAGTTGTGGTTGCTGGTGTGGTGGTTGGGGTTTCTGAGCTTGAGGATGTGATTGTTGTTGCAGTAGTTGTGGCAGAAGTTATCACTTTTGTAAAGGAAACAAAAAGATGTTGTGAGTTATAATTCTGTGATGTCATATTCATAAGTCACTGTATCTTTATTCTTTTTTTCCCAGAAATATTCATTAGCTTATTTATATAACCTTTAATTTAGATTTCATATTAATCCTTTTATTCCAATTCTGTAATTGTTCTAGAACTGATGCTTTATGAAAGGTAAATGTTGTTACAGGAGTAACAAGGAGTGCAGCAACATGGACTTGTTAGAGGAGTGGTTGTAAAATCTATAATTTCCCATTCACATCTTGACAGTTCACATTTCAGAAAAACGTATGCAGTTCACAGAGTCTCAAACAATGAGTACAAACTGAGCTATTCACTGATCTACAGGTGAGCTTACTGGGTTTGGGTTATAGTTGGTTTAAACAAAGAGGATTAAAGGGAGTTTCCTGCTTTACACAAGTTTATTAACTTTGTGGTAAATTATTATATTCTTCATCCACACACAGAAACATGGGATGGAAATAAAAGAGGAGATGAAGGGGCAGACAAAAGGGAGGGAGCTGAAGGATGACAGATAGAGACAAAGAAATGAAATGCCTTTGCCCGTCTTTTGCTCTAAGTTTGTACCAGGAGAGAGGACTTTATTCTGATCAATCTTGGAGACCATATCCTGGTTTAGTAATTTCAACCTTGATTCAGAAAGCTTGTTGTCTTGCTATTTTAGGAAATTATGAATTACTTTACCCGCTTGGAAGAAGTGGTTAGAAAATGGATGGATGATTTCCTTTGCTGTGGAGTCCTTAGGCTAAAATCTTTCTCTACAAATCTGGCAAATCATCATTAGAATTGGGAGACAGATTCCCATTCAGTTTTGAACATCCATGAAGTAGGAAGGGATATTTTTGTGCTGTGCAGTTATGTGATTGTTTTGTTAATAAATATTGGTTTACCCTAACAAGATTTGACTCTGATTTATACTTTTTCACGAGAGGTGTGCCAGAGAATATAAGAAACACCTTTGCTACAAATTGGTACCTCTCATTTGGGTATGAATGTTGTGACTTCTTCGATTCCTACAGTGTAAATCTAGTTTCCTCTTGTTTGTAACCTTTCCTGTTTTCTTATTTCTAAGGCCACTTATTCTCCCTGTTTTTAGTCTTTAAATCTTTATAAAGGGGCACAGACACAATGCTCAGCGTGTTGCTGTTGCTGTATGCATGTATTTGGTGATGTACCTTTAGAATAAAGAGATTGATTCCCATTTGTTTTGTGGAGTTCAGGTTATAGGAAGGAAGCTTTAATATTAGTTTGTCTCATTTATTTAATAACTTAAAATAGAGAATTAAGCAAGAGAACTCAGGTTAAATAACAGTAGGATCCATATAGGATCTTTATTTCCCAATTGTTGCATTTACTTACATTAATAATGAAAATGCAGAATTATCCCATAGAAGTAAGGTTATATCACAGCACGTTTAATACAGTGATATGTCACTTTCAAAAGCTGCATGTACTTACATGTGGCATTAATGCTGGAAGGAATGATGTTCAGGAAGGTCTCAGACTGAGCCTCGGATATCTGCAAATCACTGATAACATTGGTGATGTTTGGCACAACTGTCTCATTACGGAATATGAGGTCTACATCCACTCCTACTGATCCACTCCTGTAGGTCAAGGGAAATAAAGAAGAGAGATATTTACTAATGGGTTGGAGCAATGTGTCATTCATGAGAGAGAAGATCCCAGTGTCCTCCTCACATTAGGGAACAACCAATTATGTGAAGTCATGACTGGTTATTTCAAGGGACAACTATATTGAATAAACACTCTAACAGACACCATGGATTAACAGGAAAATCACTGTTCCTGTAAATTTCAAAGTCTTTACTTTTTTCCTTTTAATAGTTTTTATATGTTTGGGTAACTGAAAATCCATTCACATACTGTAGTTTTGATGAAGTGAACCTATTGTCTGCACTGGTAGAAAATTCCAAAAATGTAGCTCACCAAAATCGCTTGACTTCACATCGCAGGAAGGTAAGTGGATATTTTTTTTTGTACACTGAGTAACACTGTAAAATAAGAAAACAGAAAACATTAATACCACCTCAGGCCTGGTAGATAAATTCTTCAATCAACGGTTCAAAACATACAAGTACTTACCTCTCCAGAGACATTTTGAGCCAGCTGTTTATACTTGGCAGATGAAGAATTATTCAGTTCGTCTTGGAAATCCCGAATCATTCGGAAAGTCAGCAGAATTATACCGTTCCTCTCTGATGTGGTTATGATAGTTGTCATGGTTGTAGTGGTGTCTGTGGTTTGAGCTGAGCTCGTGACAGCAGTCGGAGCTGTGGATTTCGTACTGGAAGTTGTTGAGGTTGTAGTGGGAGACGTTGGAGTAGCTGGGGTTGTAGAGTATGCTGAACTGGGAGTTGTAGCTGTGGGTGTACTGCCATGAGGTATTGTGGTCCTACTTGTGTTTGTAGTAGAAGGAGCTGTTGTGGTTGAAGTAGGAGCTGCAGCGGGCGAAGTGTGAAGTGGTGTAGTTGTCATGGGAGTGGTCGTTTGTGTAGCAGAAGATGCAGATGTGCTTGTGGTGGGTGGATAGGTTATGCCTGCTGTAGGAGTGATAGAAGTAGCAGTGGTAACAAATGCCATTGTTGCAGCTGGAGCAGTAGTTGTGAATGTGGCGGGTGAACTGTTGTTGGTACTGGAAATTGTTTTGGTAGTACTTAAAATATCTCCTCTGGTTGTAGATGAAGCTGTGGGCGTTGTGGAAGGTGGAGTGGTGGTTGTGGTAGGAGCTGTGCTTGTTGTACTGGGAACTATTGTGTTATTAACAGCAGCTGTGGGAGATGCAGATGGAGCTGTAGATCTAGTGGTGGCAGGAAGAATGGTGGTGGCTGTTGTAGTGGGAGTTGCTGTAGTAGTTGTAGTTGGAGTCTGAGTTGTAGTTGTTGTAGAAGGAGACGCGGTTGAAGTAATAGCAACTGCTGTTGTTGCCGTGCTAGTAGTGGAAGCTTCCTTTATCGTACCTGAAGCTGTAGTTCTGGCAGAAGAAGTTGGTGTTGAACTAATAGTTAGAGATGTAGTTTTAGTTGTTGTGATAGGAGATGTGGTGGTAGCAGTAGTTGCTGTAGTTGTACTGGGAATTGCTGTAGTTGCTATGGGAGCAGCTGTTGTTGAAGTGGGAGCAGCTGTGGTAGTTGTAGCTAGAGATGCAGTTGTGGAAGACAATGTGGTAGTAACAGCTGGGGCTGCAGTTGTTGTAGAAGGAATAGTTGTTTTAGAAGTAGGAGCAGCTGTGGTTGTTGTAGTTGGACCTGTAGTCATGGGTCTTGAGGAAGATGAAGTGTTGGTAGCAGGTGCAGTAGTTGTAGTGGGTATTGTTGTGGTAGTACTGGGAGCGGCTGTTCTTCTTGTAGTTGGACCTGTGGTTGTGGTGGGAGGAGAGGTTGTGGTACTAGAAGGAGTTGTGGTTGTTGTGGTGGGAAATGTTGTTTTAGTAGTGGGAACAGCTGTGGTTGTTGTAGTTGGACCCGTAGTCATGGATCTTGAGGAAGATGAAGTGTTGGTTGCAGGTGCTGTTGTTGTTGTAGTGGGTATTGTTGTGGTAGTACTGGGAGTGGCTGTGGTTCTTGTAGTTGGAGCTGTGGTTGTGGTGGGAGGAGAGGTTGTGGCACTATAAGGAGTTGTGGTTGTTGCAGACGAAGGTACATTTGTGGGTGTTGTAGGAAGTGAAGTGGTGGTACTAGGGGCTGTGGTTGTTGTAGTGGTGGAAGGCGAGAAAGTGGAGGAAGTAGCAATTGTTGAGGTAGTAGTGGGAGCAGCTGTGGTAGTTGCAGTTGGCGCTGTAGTTGTGGTTGCTGTGGAAGACGATGTGATAGTAGTAGCTGGGGCTGTAGTTGTTGTAGAAGGAATTGTTGTTTTAGAAGTAGGAGCAGCCGTGGTTGTTGTACTTCGACCTGTAGTCATGGGTCTTGAGGAAGATGAAGTGTTGGTAGCAGGTGCAGTAGTGGTTATAGTGGGTATTGTTGTTGTAGAAGTAGGAGCAGCTGTTGTAGTAGTTGTGGGAGGAGCAGAGGTTG